ATCTGTCACAGTCCAGAGCCAAGAAGCTGCTTACCGAGCAGCCAGCAGGACCGAGCAGTCACAGGAGTTTCTCTCCCACACAGCCCGTCCCTGGGAGAAGAGCCTTGCTATTACAAGGAGGAGGTTACGGTGCCTGCGGTAAGTTACAGCCCCCCAGGCCCCTCTTATTTCGGAGGGAGAACCAGACAGTCCCAAACTCATTACCCTATCTCCAGGTTTTAACACGGGTTCATTTTTGGTCCCCAGTTTATTAAGCAGCGTGTAGGCCAGCTTGAGACTTCTGCTCCACAATTTGCCTAGAACACAAAGAAGAGAGACTTGCACAACTCCGAATCACCCCGGCACATGCGAGACTTTTTCAATTCTTGACTGTTTTTACTGCCTGCATCCCGTTTCAGTTACGCTGCTCCGACCACAAAGCTCTCCAAGCCCAGGCAGGTAGCTGCAACCACACGAAGACTGGCACCTCCGTGTTCTTTACCGCTCTTTTGGAGCAGCCCAGCCACGGGAGCCAGGGCTCAACTCACCGTACGTGAGGGTATAAACCGGTTTGCCAGTAACATCCAGTGCTGTCAGACAGGGGCATTTGGCTTGTGTGGTTCCCCAGCGCTGCAGAGCTGCTTCTAAGGCAGGAGGCCAGTTACAAACCACTCCCAGGGGCTCTCCCTTCACAGGCGTCATCTGCCGTCCCTCGGGCTTGGGCTGATTCGGGTCAGGCTGTGGAACTGAAAAGACTCAATAATGCTTCCAGTTCGTCTTCGCCCGCCGGCCGCCAGACAGCTCAGCTGGAGAGACGCGCTAAAAACAAACGCTGTCCCCCCCGCCTCCAGGTTTGGCAAGTCCTGTCCCCGTTCATTTCCTAGGAAGCCCCTCACAAAACATCGTCGTGAACAGAGCCTTCTCCCGGGGCGCTACTGGAAGGTTTTCCTTCCGCGGCAAGGAAAGTCCTGAACAGACAGATAATCTCTCAAACTCGGGCTGTCAGGAAACTACCGGTAAAGAGAATCCCCTTTGGGTCATTAACTAAAGTGGCCTGAGCGAATGAAGTGGTTTTAAACAAATATTTTGTGAGTTGTCATGCCGGGGAGGCCGCGCCAGGCTCAGCCGGATGGCGAGTTACGTCAAACCCCGGCGTCGGGTCAGGCTCTTTGCGAAGGTTTCCGCTACCTGCGAGGAGCGTGTCAGAGCACCCTCCAAACCCAACGGTGCAAATAAATCCAGCGTGCGCGCGCCCAGACAAGTGACTAATGAACCACGTTATTCGCTGCTGTTACCTTCCACGATTTCTTCAAAATCGTCCACGAAAAATTCTTTCAGGGGCGGCCTTTTGGGTCTTTTCAAGGTGTTGAGCAACTGCTGGATTTTTGTGGAGACTCTACTACTCACAGGGACACCTGGAGGGGAAGATTTTTGCCTGGTAAAAGCATTCATCCCCTTGATTAACATTTCCATCTTACCTCCTTCCACCCCAGGACAGCCCTTGCGGCGTGCCCACCCCCCCGACTCCCGCGTTCCGTCATCACAGGCCGTGCCAGGGCAGGATGACACCGGCAAGCGCTGTACCCGTGGTCAGAAAAGGGTAGTGACAGAAATCCATTTGTAAAGCCTACGCTCCCCGCCACAGGCCGATTTCCACGTCCGACACAGGGCGCATGCCGTACCCCGCAGCCTACGGGTCTGCGCCTGCTCTATCGACCCCGTGCCGTGCGGGAGCGCCGGCAGAGCCTAATGATGGTGAAGAATTACACCGTTTCGCTCATCTTACGCCTTTCCTTTCCGGGACTCTAGGACAAAAGCTTTTACAATTAGCCCACCTATGCACCTGGAATTTTCTTCTCTTCTAGAGAAGAGAAAAGCCAATGATCTCCCCTCGGTTTTCTCCGGTTTGGGGCACCGTAGGCAACTGCTGCAGCCCGGGACTGCGTTAATGCCAACGTCCTGACTACGGCACAGGACTGTGTTAACGCTGATGCCACAACCAATTCCCCTGTGTGAAGTGCTTCAGTGGGACAGACTTGAGCTGGGAGAATAAATCCTGTGACTTCAGCCCTTCCTGATTCCAAGTACTCTGAAAGGTTCCGTACCATCCGCAGTATCCATGAGACTAGAGCGATTGGATCCCTTGTGCATGCCTTTCACGATTCCCGAAGGAGGGAGGTCAACGGCTGCTGGGCGTGCTGAGGAAGGGCAGGTGGTGGCTGTGACATCTGGGGGAACGGAGAAGTTCTCTAAGGAAGGGGAGAAATGAGAGGGCAATTAACATGTACCTTTTATTGTCAGATGGAACACGCAAAGCGCTAGTTACCCGTCACCAACAGTCTAACGAATTTAACTGGGGGAGCTCTTACTAATGCTAAACGCGCCGCTCCCTAAACACTGAGTAGCTCTAGGAGGTGCCCATTATCTGCTCTGGAAAACAGAAAAAGGCACAAGGTGAGTGGCTGTCTCCCCAGGTGGTTCACCGAACCCGAATTTCTAGTCTCGGTCTCTGACCTTCAAATCAAGCTAAACCTCTTGACCCTCAGCACTACAGAAAATAACAGGTTTGAGGTCGACCCGAGCCCTGCGGTACTCCACGCCCCGGAGCAAACCCCACACCACCGACGCAGTAACCTCTCCTGCACGAAGCGCACTGTGGGGCCTTGGTTAGCAAGGGCTGTCTACACCAACGCGAGCGGCGGGCAGCGACTAAAGCACATCGGCAAGGAGGGCACGCTGGGTTTCGATCTCCAGCTGGGTGACGAGACAGCGACAGCCTGTTCCATGGCAAACAACGTCTGATGGACGGAGCGAGCCGGGCCCTACTTGTGCTTTATGTCGCGAGATGCTGTTCCCTCGCAAGTGAGCTGAAGCTTCAAAACAGCAAGTAACTCGGCACACTTCACCCCCTCCCCCTCGGCGGCCTTTTAAACAGGGGACTTTTGCTTACATGGGACTCCTTTACCCAACACAGAAGGTTCAGTCATCTCACCGGGCAAGAATTTTCTGGTCTAGCTTAACAGAACCGGCGACTGTCGCTTGCGAAGGAAGAAGCCCCACGCTCGGGAAGCTGCCTGCTGGCTCGCAGGGTCTGAGGGAAGCCGGGCACCCAGTAATTCCCACAGAAAGGTTTCTGCGGCTCATCCTCTGCGCTCCTCTTTGTAAGGAGGAATCCCCCCCATCTCTGCATACCTCTGGAGATATGGTGGCAAGGGATATTTGCCATTTACGGGGCTTGTGAGATCACTTGTGAGGACCTAGACCTGGTGTAACCCCAAACACCTGCCGGGCTCCCCACTGCTCTCCGCGAAGCGATGTACAAATCCGCCTGTGTGAGAGTTCCTCCTCGTTTACGTAAGGTGTTAACACGGGATGAGTCTGGCATCTACAATCCCAGCACAGATCTAGAGCTTCTATTCTGCATAAAGCACCAATTTTATCAGTAGGTACTCTGGAGATAAAGAGCTGGATTACCTGATTCATCACAGAGGTAACGTGGCTTTCTGCAGGCTGCAATTAAACCCAGCCTCTCTGCTTCAAAGACAGGTTAATTAGAGGGACTACTTTTTAAGGGCAGTTTCCCCAGTTTTCCATTTCAGAAAACAACTTCATCCCAGAAAATAAACAACAAAAAAAGCAGCCATAAAAAGAAAATACAACTAAGCGAAACCGTTAAAACGGCCAGCGCTTCCAGGCAGTGCCTGCCCCAGACCAGGCGAGCGAGAGCAGAGCACACACAATGCAGACACCTCCTGGGATGCAGTAACGTCCCGAACAGCAGATAAACGAGACAGACAGACACAGACCAAACGTTGCCATTTCCAACAGAAGCATCAGCAGCGAGGAGCACCTCAGAGCCTCAAAAAACTGAGCCCGGGGTATCCAGATCTGCAGGTTGCGCTCCGTCTTCTCAACCCCCGGGTGCTCTGGTTATTCCTCAGACTAGTGATGGAAGATCTGCGCTGAGTCTTTGCCCTCACCCTCTTCCCTCAGCGACACGCGTTCACACGCGTGGCTGGGTGCGGGGGGTTCTGCAGACAATAAACCACTGGGGCGGACAGCACGGCGAGAACGTTCAGACACAGCGCTTCCCCGCTCGGAGGCACAGGCACCCCGGCGGCGTTCCTCGGGACACCGACAGCTTTGCACGCGCAGCAGCGTCGGACAGAAGCAACACAGAATGGAAGCTGTGCCTAGTGACACCCTCAGTGCTGCCATCACACCCCGGGGCCTTTTCTGCTTCAACAAGCTCCTGCCCCCCCACGTCTCCTTTTTCAACCAACTCAGTATTTTGAAGTTCCTAAGGGAAAACCAACCCAACCCAACAAATCCTTGCACGGTCCATCAGAACCAACCGAACTCCTGATCCGAATTCCCCTCGCGCAACGGACAGCTCCAGCTTTATTAACACAGTCTGAACCTGAGGCAGCGTTTCTGTTCACACCCATCTCCTACCTATTCGAGTATTGGCAAACACATCAGCTAGTGACCCACTGGTCCCTTTGCCTTCTCCATGGGAAAGTGTAGAGGATGCTGATGAGGATGTGGATGACCCCTGAATAGATCGGTTGATCCAAGACTCAGCATTCTGTAAGCTCTGATGCAATGCAGCAGAAAGAGCAGCTTGGCGCCTTAGCGACCCCTCATCCTCGGACGCGGAAGACGTGTCTGTGTGGAAGCAGAAAAGAAAATCCAGCTGCTTCGGGAGAAGCACATCGCACCGAACATGCTCCGTGTTCACACACCAACGGCACAGGCTTGTAACACGAAGGGGTTTTCCCCACAGGCTGCATCAAACAAGGTTACATTGGCCAAAACACAAGTTAAAGCCGCAACGTCTCCAACGTGACCACGTTTACCCCTGGTTTTGCCCCGTTTGAAGCACACATGGGATTCACCCCCTCAGACAAGTATCCTTCCCCTGGCCTCTCCAGGTTTAACAATTTATCTCTCGTGACTTTTCCACTCGTATCCTAGAATATCAGCAGCTGTATTGCCTAACCTGGGGAATTCTGAAAGGGGAAGAAACGAGGGGTCAGTATCGTGGTCACCACTGAAAATTCCCAGGAACAAAGCAGAACGCAGGCCCTGGGAGACAACCCTGCCGAGGCCACATGCAGAAAGTGCTTTCGTCTGGGACTCTGAATGGGTCCCTGTTGACTGCGGAAAGCAAACCAGAACACCCTCCCCAAAACAAGAGAGAAAACTCCAACGAGGAGCCGCAGCCTGCGTTTCCAAGAGGGCAGGTTCCTCGTGTGCCCTGAGGCTGTGACTTGTGTGTCTGCCAGGAAGAAAGCACTGGCTGCTCGGCGCTTTAAGCTGCGCAGGGTCGCCTGTCAACATCCAGACTTTGCCCTAGAACCGGAGCGTCCTTCAGAGCGATCGCCTGCCTATGCTCTAGTCGTTAACCCAGCAATCGAATCATGTTCTTCCTGTCTGCCAGAGCAGCACGCAGGCCGGAGGTGAAGAAAAAGACTGATCCCAGACACAGGGTAAGTGCAAAGCTGTGACCCACGCAGAGAGCAGGAACATGCACTAGGCCCCAGCAGAAAGGAAAAGAAAGACCAGGAAGCACGAAGGAAAAAGGAGGTAGGAGGGGTATGAGAGCAGCGGTCTGGCAGAGCAGCGATCTGGCAGAGCAGTTTCAGAGTGAGATGAATTCACAACGAGATGAATTCATCGTGCTCAGATGACTCTGTCAGTCCAAACGACTGCGATGCTTCTGCACAATGACAGACAACAGGAAAGTCACCGCCAAAAATTACACATACTCATTTTTAAGCCAGTGCTGCTTGAAAACAGAGAGCTTTATGGGTCTCTGATGCACAGGCACCGTAACAGACACGCCGTTATCCGAGGCGCTCTGCCGCAGCCACTACACGGGAAGAGTGAGGAAGGAAAAGCCCTGCAGGTCATGGAATCCCCCAGGAACCCCCCCCCCCAACACGTCCTTGCCCAGAAATGTACATCTCTGCACATCACAGAGTCATGGAACAGTTTGGGCGGGACCCTCGAGCCCCCCCAACCCCCCCGCCATGGGCAGGGGCCCCCTCCACTAGACCAGGTTGCTCCAAGGCCCACCCAGCCTGGCCTTTATGCTGAGTATTAAACCTTAACAAAACCAAAACCTGATTTAAGCAACTGAAACAGGAAGCAAAAGAAGAAGCCTCAGCAAAAAAAGCCTGTCCAGCTCTTGGCAACTGATTCTGTAAAAGCTCTGGGAAGGAGTCGTTTTCACGGCCCCAGCAGCAGCTCCAGGAACAGCAGCAGCTCCCAGAGGTGGCGCGAGAGCTCCAGGACTAACACGCTACCCGCAAACGGGCTGGAGACCCTGAATACTTTGAGAACTGCAGCCTCCTGCCTAACGCACCCCTAACGCACCCGGGCAGGCACGCTGTGAGAACCTAACCTGGGGGAGTGCAGGCGTCGGCCGGAGACTGAACGAAGGTTGACCGTCTCTTCGTTGGCATGGGCAGGGCCATCTTCTGTTCTTTGTGCTTGGCCAGGGCTGCCTGAACGGCTTCGGTGTGGATATCTGCAAAAGGCAGGTTCGATACCAGGTTTGGCAACAGCAGAGGAGGAAGGAGACACAAAGCTTACACTCATGCAACTGCTGCTACCTGGCTTGGTATGCAACGCCCAGCTCAGGGCCCCTTCCCAAACAACCACGTTCGCCGTCCCGGGAGGAACGTGTCACGCAGGGAAGCTAGCTGAGGTTCCTAAAGCACGCAAGCCAGTGGCAGCGCCAGGCTTTTCAGTCAGGAACCTTCCGGTTTATCATCATCTTCTTGTGTCTTTAGCTCAAACTCCGAGCCTGCTGTCCGGATTAGGAAAAACCTTGCGTTCCAAAACCCAAATGGATGCAGATTTCATGCAAATCGTGACAATTACTAACTGTGGCTGTAAATACGTGCTGATTAGTAACCGAAACGGGCGGAGGCGAGGCCCTCGTCCCTCTGCCAACATCCACAACTCTTCGAAGGAAGACACAGCACGGATGATGAGCAACCTACTATGACAACGGAGAGCTCATCCGCATTCACTTATTGGATTAAAGTATTTTAATTATGCTTTTCCAAACAAAAAAAATCCCTAAGCTCTTACGAAATGGTGGAATATGGTATCGATGTTACTGGAGAAGGTGTATTTGATACTTTATTTGCCCCTGCTGAGAAGAAAACTTACAGCTTGTTAACACAAAGTGAAAAGCAGAACCAGGTGGAAACAAAAACCCCAGGTGCCATCCCTTTCCACACAGGGAGCAGGAAGTCAGCAGGCTGCTCGCTCTCGGAGCGGAGGTAACGCCGGCTCTCGTCCTCCGAGCTCCCGCAGCGGACGCGCACAGCCATCACCAACGCCGGCAACGAGTGGCTACCCGTCACGTCGCTGAGACTGCTCACCTGCCGACACGCTCACGATAAGCTTTCCAACCCGTGAACAGCTTGCACTCAACAGCTGCGTTCAAGCCAGAAAACCAAGGTGGAAAAAGGTTATTTGCTTCTCCTACTGAGCGTTCTTTCTGGTCACAGAGCTGCAGTCCTGCACGCCTGACGTTCCTCTACACGGAACCACCACGACGGGACCCGCCGTCAGCGGACAAATAAGGAGCTTGATTCCTGGAGAGGACACTGTCCGTTCCTCCTCGTTAACAGGAACCCCGAGGGAACTCTTGCCCCTGTCCTTACCAGATCGATAGCGTTCATCTCTGGCGCCCCCTGAGCGAGCTCGGTGAAATTTGGACGACGAGGAGGAGGAGGACGATGCTGAGGCTGGAGTTGCAGATGGAGCCGGCATCTGAGTTCTGGAGTCCTTCTGTAACGCTGGATCAGTCCCTGGAAAACAGGATTCTCTGAGAGCAGGAAGGAGAAGTAGCCGTTTTGACCACACGGTTTACCATGTAATTATAGGATTGTCCCCTCTTTTGTTCTGTAGTGAATTTGCTATAACTAGTGTATTAACAGAGATAATTGTAAACCCCTGATCACTTCAGATGTACTTGTCCCTCCTTCTCCCTTACTCCTGGAAGCTCTTCCCAGCTGTTTTAAGGGCTTGGCAGGCACTTGAAGCAAGAGGCCATCTCCAGCAAATCCAAAGCAGGTGACACAACACACCATTTCCCGTCACGCCACCAACCCACCAGCAAAAATGGGGACGAAGTCGCCTCTGAAGGATTCATTACAGAACACAAAAGCAACGGTGATAAGAGTCAGCCAGATCTCGATAAGAGAAGGGGTAGATAAGGCAGGTAAGTCCTACACTCCCCCACGCGCCGTTCGGGACAGCGCTCATTTTCCTCGCAGTAGCTGCTGCGAGGCTGTCCCGGATTTGTGCTGAGGAGAATCCTGCCAACACTGGTGGTTTCACTTGTTGCTAAGCAATGTTTACAGCAAGTCAAGGACTTGTTCGGTTTCTGGTACTGCACCTGCGTTCCCGGCTTCTTCTCTACAAGGAGCTGGGAGGGGACGCGGCCCGGACAGCTGACCCCAACTGACATGTCACACCATCAAACGTGCTCGCCACGTAAGCTGGGGGTTAGCCGGCAGGGGAAACCACTGCTTGGGAGCTGGTTGAGCTGGCTGGTGAGCATCATTTTGCTTTCCTTCCTTTTTTGTTTTACTACAGATTATCATCACCATTACTAGTAGTATTTTAATTACATATTAATATTACTATTATTAGCATAATTATTTTATTTCACTTACTTTCAATTACTAAACTGATCTTATCTCAACCCACAAGTTCTCTATCTTCTTCCTCCAGCTCTCTCCCCCATCCTGCGGTGGGGGCTGTGGGGTACCTGGTTGCCTGCTGGGGCTAAACCACAACAGCAACGAACTTTGGTGTTTTGTGATGCAGTATCTCTGTGGTTTGCTCCCTGTTTCACCACGTCTCCAGTGGGAGCAGGACTGCGCCGCACTCTCATTACTGCACTAAGAGGGAGGAGAATTAACTAGCGGAAAACTACTACGTGTAAACCGTTTTCAGGGTTCAGAGCCACGTAGAGCGCCTCCCGCCCCCCTGTAGGCATCGCTGCCGTGGGCACAAGGAGTAGAGGGGTTTGGCCGATGCAGTAAGTCATTATCCCAAATTAAGGCGGAGCTGTGAAGAAAAGGAAAACCCTAACGAAACACGTTGAGAGGCTGGGTTCGTTATTCGGCGTTCCGCTGACGTGCGCATTATTGACAGGAAAACCAATAATCCACCAGCGGCCAGAGCCTTTGCTCTTCACATTAATTAAAGACCAACCAGACCTCTAGTCGTCCAGGTCCTTTCAGCATGTCAAGGAGCGAGTGGCTTTATCATCCTGGAAAAGTCTGGTTTTCCCATGAATACCGGGAGCTAAATAGATAATTCAGCAAGGGACACTAGGAATGGTTGCTACAGGAGTTGTAAAAGGAACTGTGCATCAGCGGGAACTTTCGGAGCACTAAAGGTCATAGGGCTGGAATTCCCTTCAGGTTGTCACCCCAAGTCATGCAAGAGAAGAGCAACTGTGTCACCTAAACATGCGCCGCTCACGAGTTCTCACAAACTACCAAGGGAGTAGAGAAACAAAGAGGAAGCCGCAAATCCTGGTGCCCAGTTCCAGTTATACCACCTCCTCAGTGTGTGGTTTTAGGTAAACAACTTAAGGCAAACACTCCAAGGGCCGGGAACCCACAGTACCAGCAAGTCACACCTACCTAGTTGCCGAGACTAACCATCTCCCGTACCTGCCAACGTCCTGAAGAGCAGAGCAGCAGTTGCACGGTACAGCACACCAACTATCCACTTCGCGCGGCGTTACAGGCTTTGGAAAAACACCGTGAACATGGGAAGATGCCCTCCTGGAAGTTCTCAACCCCTGGCACCGCTATCTGGCCTGGGAACCTTTGCATAAGTTTTCACCCCTTACTCCAGTTTTCAGCAGTTCCATCTGCAGTACCAGCGTTCAGTGGAGGTTTATTACTAACGAGTCACAGAATCGCGGAATGGTTTGGGTGGGAAGGGACCTTAAAGATCATCCAGTTCCAACCCTCCTGCCACGGGCAGGGACACCTTCCATAGCCCAGGTTGCTCCAAGCCTCATCCAGCCTGGCCTTGGACACTCCCAGGGATGGGGCATCCACAGCTTCTCTGGGAACCTGTCCCAGCACCTCCCCAAGTCTTTAAACCATCCTCATCAAAGTAGAGCCTTTATTCCCCGTTCAAAGCAGATTTCCTGCTAGGCAGAAATTCTCAGAGTGTTTTAGGGGGACAAACAACTGTTCCCTGTTTTCATATTCTGGATACCGTAACGTGTCAGTCCTGTATTCACTTCTCAAAATGTAGGCATCACCTGGGCCGAGGCGCCAGCAGCACAGAAAGTGGAACGGAAAAGGAAGGGAGATTTCTGTGGTTTAGGTGCAGGATCTGGTCATGGAAGACCTGGACTTCAGAGCAAGATTTTCCATTCCAAAATCTCAGTTTACCCACATCCAAAAGCATCAGTGTTCGTGCCCCCTTCCCACGATCCTGGAAGACACCGAGGCCTGGTTTAACATACCTGTAGCCTATATTGACCTTCATCAAAACCAAGGGGTTTATTTCCATCCAAAGACAAGACAGCTTCACAGGCCGAGAAGAAAAGCTTCTGATCGTTTGGGTATTTGGGAGTTCCAGCACCCACTAGATGTCAGCAGCAGATTTAACACTATTTTAAATGAATTATTAAATTCGTGCTCAGCTCTCTCTCAGAAGTCTCGCAAGAGCATCTCATCTGCTCTGCGGGGCATCGCAAGGCACACATGGCATTCCATTTACAGAGGGACCAAATGTGTCCCTGAGTGACGTGATGTTCCACGGGCAACTCTTTGTTTGAATACCGGGCTATGACATAACAGCACGTTACCGCAGCCCAGCGAAGCAGTCCAGCACAGCGGGGGGACGCCGCAGTGAGCCACACACCGGCACCCGACAAGCAACGCAAGCGAGCTCAGCCTGCCAGGTGACCGCAGCAGCATTCCCTTTAAACAATGCTGCTCCAGCTGCAGTTTCTGCTCCAGGAGCTGAATCCACGGGGATGGGAAAAATAAGTTATTTTAGATTCGCTTCAGTGGGATGCGATGGGTTTTTTGACTGTCACTAGTTTTTAAGCAGAACTGGCTGCTTTGTGATCCCTGCAGTTTGTCGAAGGAAGGTTCAACGATTTGGAGATCTTTTTTCATGAGAAGAGTTTCGGATCAGAAGCATCCCCTGTGAGCCAAGAAGGGTAACGTGAGTGCCAGATTCATCTGACAGAAGACAAGCAGCAGGCAAACCTGTTATTCTGCTGGTTTGCATACGGAATTGAGCAGAAGTGCTAGTGTTAGACTGGCTTTTCCTTCTAACAAGGTGATTTTTTTCAAGCTGCAGGCCCATACGAGTCATGTAAATAACAAACTCAAGTTTCCAGGGTTTACAGGTCGGGCTGAAGAGCCCTTCCAAGCGAGGGGACAGCCTCACGCCGCAGCAGGCAGGGCTGCGTGAGCTCAGCGTGATGGCGACTGCCTTCAGCGCCGAGCGGCAAAGAACTCTCCAGGTTTCGGAGACTCCTGCAGGAGTTACTGGTTAGATGGTGCTTAATTCTGCCCTGTGCAGGACGTGAAGGAAGAATTCAGGTGTTGCACTGACTCAGTCCTGGCTATTATTTCAGATGTGGAGGAATTTATTTCCTGGAGCAAGCGATAAGCTTTACGTGCAGTCGCCATACCCCTCGGAGGGAGCAAGGAAGAAAATCATTCCCCGTCTGCGGCAGCTGCAAGTTGGATCTTGCGAGTGGGTGAAACTCTCCAAACACCACTAAGCTGGAGCGCGTGTGCGTGATTTACAGGGCTAGACAAAGCTGGTTTGTCACTGGTCACGAGCACACATTTGAAATAACGTGATGCTGAGAGAGGACAGAACACCCAAACCCCTTGCAGAACTCCACTGCTGGTCTGCGGGCCTCCCACAGCACACGGGGGGGCAGGAAGGACTTCACCGAGACAGGAAATATGTGACTTGGGAGACAAAGAAAAGCTTCGTGTCCAAAGCGCCACGATTTCAAGGAAATGAAACACTGAAGGAGCAGAGCCTGTGACGTACAGGCCGGGGGTGACCTGCCGGGGAGCAGCTCTGCAGAGAAGGAGCTGGGGGTGCTGGTGGGCAGCGAGTTGACCATGAGCCAGCCACATGCCCAGGAAGGCCGGTGGTGTCCGGGGGTGCGTGAAGGAGAGCGTGGCCAGCAGGTCGAGGGAGGTCATCCTGCCTCTCTGCTGTGCCCTGCTGAGGCCGCGTCGGGAGTGCTACATCCAGTTCTGGGCTCCCCAGTCCAAAAAAGACAGGGAACTGCTGGAGCGAGTCCAGAGGAGGGTACAAAGATGATGAGAGGACTGGAACATCTCCCTTGTGAGGAAACGGAGCGAGCTGGGTCTGTTTAACCTGGGGAGGAGAAGCCTGAGAGGGGATCTCGTCAGTGCTTGTCAGTGTCTAAACGGTGGGTGTCCAGAGGATGTGGCCAGACTCTTTCCAGTGGTGCCCAGCGACAGGACCATGAGCACAAACTGGAGCACAGGGAGTTTCACCTGAACTTGAGGAAAAACGTCTTTACGCTGAGGGTGCCAGAGCGCTGGAACAGGCTGCCCAGAGGGTGTGGAGTCGCCTGCTCTGGAGATACTCCAAACCCGCCTGGACACGTTCCTGTGCCATTGGCGCCAGATGAACCTGCCTTGGCGGGGGGTTGGACTAGATGATCTCGGAGGTCCCTGCCAACCCCCAGCGTGTGACTCTGATTCCGTACAGCACAGGGTGAGAACGTGAGCAACGTGAAGCAGAAACAACACCACAGACGTTAACAGCTAAAATTCACACGAGCTTTCAATGTTGTGCTTGTAAACCTGCTGAGATCCATATTGCTCCTGTCTTCCAACACCTTTCTCCGGGTTTTGGGACACAAAAGCCACCGGATCACCTTTCCAATAACACACATGAAGCGCGCACTCCAACGTTCTCTTTGCTTGTTTAAAGTCTTGATTGTTTTAAAGCATCAGGAGAATAGGGAACAGGAGCTAGAGCACTCCAGCAGGTACAGAAAGTGGTTCTGACAGCAGATGGGTGCTTAACGAACACCACTTCCTGTACACACCGGCAGAGGAACCGAACGCGGTCTCTTAAAGAGCAAGAAAACGCGCTCTGCCAACAGCCCATGTGCCAGGGCTGGGAACGGGGGCAGGAGCATTCCCGCGCCTGCACTCTTGGAGCTCCAACACTGTAACGGCTCTCCCAGATCTGCAGCGACTAACACGGACAGGAGCTCGCTCTCCAGGCAGGAGTTTGCCTGTAGTTGGAGCAAAACCTAGTTCCGAGAGGTGGTGAGCTACTATACCCTCTCCTAGTAGCAGAGCGGTAAAAAACCCCCCAAAAACGGCGGCGCGAACCAGCAAGAACCAAGCGTGAACCCATGTGAACCAGCGCAGCATCTTTTAAGATGGGCATAAAAATGTCAGGTCCTCACAAACGACCCCGAGGGTGACCTGAAACGGCCAGTGTCGCCCCAATAAGCGCAGCATCTCGAAGCACCGAGCCCCTGCCTCTGCTTCAAGAGGGCAGCAGGGGTTCAGCTACAGCTACGCACTCCCAGGGAGAGACGAGGGGCGAGACGGGGGGCGGGCAGACGCCCTGACGTGGAAGGGGAATGCCCGTCCTCCGTTTCAGGTCGAGCAACAGGGAGATCAGCAGCATTACGGAACACGGACAGCCTGGGAAGCTGCTCAAAATACCTTCTCCAAAGCCTTTTTGGGCAGCAGCCCTGGAATCACGGCTCCATCGCCCCAGTAGGTTCCATTTACCAAAATGGATGTTGCACCAGGAAAACGTGTTTCTGTAGGTAATTAACACGGCGGCCTTCACTTGGAAATAATGAGGCAAGCTCCCAGAGGCAATGCGAATGGAGCACGGATTTAGCAATCAGAATCTCCCAAACTCTAATGCTGACGTGCCCCGACGTGTCGTCCAACCCACCTCCATCCCATCCCACATCTCCGAAACAGCCAACACTGAGAAGGTGCGTTGAGAGCTGCAACGCACAAACTGCCCCAAGTAAATACCCTTCTCTTTCTGTTGTGGACTACGTTCATTTTCTGTTCATTAACAAGGTGACCCGATTCCCAATCCCTCCGGCAGGACTTCAACAGGCTTTCTGAAGCGGGAGATTCCCAGATACAGGGGCAGCTGGATACAAAAGGCTGGAGGGCTGAGCCAGAGGAGCAGCCAAAATGCTGTTTTAATCGGTGACCTCCTATCAGTCCGTCTCTCCCTGAACGTCGGCTCGTTCAGCCGCCTCCAAAAGCGTGACAACTAAAACAGGGCCACAGACAGGCTGGCCAAATGCTTTTCCCTCCTAATTAAACAACGCTTCCTGAAGCAAACCAAGCATGCGTGCATGAGGGGCATGAGATCGATGGGTCAGATGAAGAGCAGCTTGTAGAGCTTCAGCCTTCAGTGGAGCGTGGCAGAAAAACAAAGCTGGGCAACAAGCGGGATGGAGCAGACCAGGAATCCACCATAAAGTGTCCTGGAGTGGCAGCCTCAGCTACCACAGGACAGCAGCAGAGTCCTTTTATGTTCCTCAGGCAATTTCCTGAGCAGCTCAGCAGAAAAAGCCTACACCATTCCCCACACGGATACTGATGGTCAACAAACGCACTTTTAGCCTTCACTCTTATTTTTTTGGCAGTAGTTCAGCCTCGGTAGGTTACAGAAAGCCCAGTCACGACTGCCGGACATAGCCCAAACTGCTGAGAGCCAGACACATTCATTTTTAATGGTTAAGCAGCTCAGCATATCGGCAGTGCAATTCTTTTGGGTAAGCATCCCCATAATGATTATCGGGTTCGCTTTCAGCCACGGCCTTCAGTTTGCACTAATTATCCTCCATACAATCAGCTCTACAGCTAAGGATCTCTGAAACAGACATAAACAGAGTGCGCGAATTCAGCTATTCCAGTAAAATAAACCAAGGGATTACGAAAACCCTGATGTTTCTCCAACAAGGAGTTCAGGTGGCTGAAAGAAGGACACGGTACAGACCGACTCCGCAGCTAAGCCGTTTTTCAGAAGGTTCCAGGAATGACTCTTGAGAGCCTCCCACTTCACCTCTGGCTGGAAGCCCTCAGCTGGCAAGGGAGCAGGACACGAGTGGGAGATGAAGAGAGGGGACAGAGAGTGCTGAGATGAGACCCACCGAACTGCTCTGTGCTCCGAAATCTCGGTGCTCCACTCCCAGATCCCTGTAACGTCAAGGCCACGCAAAGTACTTACCCTGGGTCTGCGGAACGTACGGAGCCAAAAGCTTTGCCCTCTTCTTCTCATACCCCTTTTGCGTGATGTCCCCTAGAATCAAGGAAAGAAAACTCATTTAACCATGTCCACGTTTTTCAGCTTGAGGTCCGTTTGCTTTGCTTTTCAGCGACACGAAGGCGTCGCTTCACGCGAACAGCGACGCACGCGCTGAAAAAATCCTGAACCCAAATATATGCGAGTACATCACGATTTCAAAGCCTCCAGCTCCTGCAGTTTCCCTTGGGATCAGAGCTGTACACTACACATCATTTAAATGCAGTGATTTGAATGAGAACGGCTATCTAAATGGAATATCAAAGCAATGAAAACCCAAAAAGGGAAACTCTGAGTGCATGAAAATGTTCTGAAACCACGAAGCCAACTTGGGCTGGCAAAACGGACTCATTCCCAAACAACAGGGCAAAGGGAGGGTGCAAATTCAGAGCCTCCTCTTAAACTAGTCAAGTCGAGAAGAGCTTTTAGCGAAGAAAGCGCTGAGGGCACCTCTGAAAGGAGGAACCGAGCCAACCTGCAGGCCCTGCGCCGCAGCAGCGCCCGGGAAGTGGGATGCTCAGGCCTGTCTGTCCGCGCGTCGGTGGAAGCCAGCGAGGGGGCCGTGGGGTTTGTAACCCGGCAGCAGCTGCCATCCCACCGTCCGCCCACCAGCAGAATCACGCAGAAGGTAGACGCTGGAGCTCCACAGGAGCAAAAACTCCGGAAGAGGATAAGTATCCGTCAACTTTTCCCATTTTTAAACAACTGATCTGTCTGATCCTGGAGACGGACCATCTGGCTGCTGTCCTTTGCTTTAATTTCTCACGTCACATCAGAACCATGAGAAAGACTTGAAACCTCGAAGGGATTAAAAAAAAAAAAGCAGCCCTGCAGCATTTCAGGCCTTTTTGTAGCCTGACCTGCACTCGTAACCTCCTATCTCTTGGGGCCGAAAGACGGGAAGCGATGAGACACACGGCAGTAAGGGAACAGAATTATTTGGGATTACGTCTCGAGCTCAAAGTAAGCCCGCGTTTGTGTTACAAGAAGAAACCAGTGATTGCAAGCGGCACGCTTCCCTCGCCGCGAGCCCCATTATCGCAGGGCAACACAGCATTAGCCGCTGTATTTACTGCCTTGCAGCATCCTTCTGCCAGACACTTCAGCCTGATCTGGGGGGTCACACCAGGAAAGGTGATTAAGGGGTTTAGGCTCGAAGCCTCCCAACACAACCAGCGTCTCCGCTCAACCACTCCAGCTAAGCGAGCGTTTGGGTTATAAAGGTGATTTTGCGGTGCTGAAACGCCTGGAAAAGGGAAGGGACTTCACTCCCTCGTGCTGGGTAGTCAAACGTCGGCGTCATCTAACCGCCCAGACGAAGTCTGGAAGCCGGAATGGGCACTTACACTGCTCAGGGGAGGCTCCGCATTTGCACACCAAATTTTATCTCACTCCTCTGACACTGCGTTTGAGTCAGGCCCCAACAGGCCCCAACAAATCCAGCAGCTGAAAGTCGGAATGTCCGCGCAGCGCTGAAACGCTAGGCCAAGCAGGAACGTCACAGGAAAGGTGCGCGGCCGCTGCCAGAGAAGCACGCCTGGAGAGAGCTGGGCCACGGCGGCACGCCACGAGGGTCGCGTTCGGATCGACTCCCTGAGCTACCCAACCCACCGGCTTCCCTGCGGGTCGCCTCCCCCGTTTCACAGGCACTTTTTAACCCCCCACGCTCGTTAGCCGACGGACCAGGGTGACCGCCGCTTCGGGAAAAACCAACCTGCCCGCAGAGGGGGAGGGATTTGCCCTTCCAAGCTAACCCACAGATTTGCTCGTAGCTTGTCATTTTGTGATTAATTTCTCCATAAGACTTAATTGGAGTCCTGACAGCGGCGGAATTACTAAGGAACAGCAGCACCTCACAAAGAGATGCCGGTACTCCCAGTGTAGGTACCAGCTGCATCACACCGTTTTACGTAACGGGGAGCAAAGGCGTCTCTCTAACCACGTGCTCCACGCTAACATCCTACCTCTAACCCAAACCTCAGAGGAGTGCCAGCGCTGCGGGTCACAGGTCCGGAAGGCCGAAGTTGAGGTGAGACACTACTGAAAAACAAGATGGTAACTCAGGCCAAAGCACTACTTGCAGCCTTCGCCACCACGTGACACCGAGCGTTTAGGTTATTACGTGAAGAAAGGATTCTCTGAGCTTAAGCTAATATAAAATAAAAAGCCCTAACACTATCTGGCAAGAGCAGGAAAAGTTCCTGTGAGCAAAATCCAAGCAACAGAAACAAGGGTGAGAAACTCCTGGGACTCCCCTGCAGCGCTGGGTCTCCTCACCGCGCAACGTCCAGGCAGAGTTTGGTCAAAAATGAAATGTGAAGATCAGCCGTTTCTCCCACAAAGAGCTGACAGTGCCCAGCGCCCGCCGGCGGGATCAGAAAGCAGAAGGCTCCAGCTTTCAGCCGGGCCCTGCTGCAGTGGAAGCAGCCAGCGGGGACGGAAGAGGCCAGCAGGAAGAGATGGGATCGTTGTTCAAGGAGAGCTGTCCCTGCGGGCCGCGCACGAGGCACTGAGCCGAAACGCGGCTCCGGCAGGACACGGGCACTAAGGCGCTCAGGAAAACGCTCGTGTGTAGGCACGGGCAACAGGCGTGACGTCATGGCAAGAGAATTCTCATGACTCCGACCACAGTAGTTCTGCCCAAACTGACATCTCCAGCCTTGGACACAAGCGTCCCTTTAACACGCTGCACGAGCCGAATGGGTTGGTTGTGTAAAGCCTCTTTCCTCTGGTCACATACAGCCCAGACCCGGTACCAACCCACCAAGACAGAACCCAGAGATTCACCGAGAGCGACATTTGCCTTCACCCCACTCCTTTTCTGCTGATCTACGGGAAATGGAAACGGCTAGATCCGAACACAAACGCGAACTTCCTCATGGTGTGTCATAAGTTACAGCAACAGGAAGAGGACCGAGACAATGGCACTGCAGCCTCAAGCCCCATTCACTCCTACCACGCAGACCTGGTAAGTCATCAACCCCGCGCCCATGAATCCAACGCGATGTGACACCTGGTGTGCTGAATTCTTCCAGCAAGCTGAGAAAACAGCCCGAGAACCGCAACCCCTCTCTGCCCAGACGCAAGACGCGGCACTACAAAGGAAGCGCTAGCCAAACAAACGAGAGATGGCAATCCGGCTTTAAAACGGTGTGTTTGCTCATTCCGAGGCAAGAACTTACCAACAAGCCCACGTACCGCTGGGACATTCTGCTGGCCCCCTCCCAGCTACAACTGCTCCCATGCCGTCGCAGTCGATATTGTCTATACCCTAAGCTGCCCGTGGCTGCGCCTCCACGTGCCGAGGACGCCTCGCTGAGGAAACGGGACTCTCAACACGAGAAAGCAACGCGTCGCCTTCTCTTCAGTCAAAACCTTTCGCCACAACCAACTGTAAGACTCTTGTATCTCACAATCTTCCCCAGCGTCTCAGCTTGTGATTTCGGGGGCTTCGTCGGAGCTTTTGGTTGTGTTTTTCCAAAGGACACGAGCGAGGTAGGCAGCCGGTGGCTGATGCGGCGGACGAACAGGCTCTCCCTTCCTGACACGGCTGCTGCAGAGACGTCTCCCACCAGCTCAGGCGCAGAGACGTCTCCCACCGGCT